GCTACCGCCAAAAATGACAGCTGACGATGGGCTTTGCTCCTAGACACCAACCACTGGCAAAATGTAAGACACTAATTTAATTGACAGAGGGGAGACATTGCGTAGCCTATTACTCAAAGACAGCGACCTCGTTTTACAGTTGGAGGACACACCCGCCTTCTCGAGCATCATCCTCCCTGCGAAAGGTGGGGCTGGGCGCTGATTGGTAGGCCTTGAAACTCACAATACTCGGACTGACTAATTGTTTGTGTCTGCTTATGAAATCCAGATTTAACTCAAAAAGGACAGTCATTACTGTCTCTAATCCAGCGTTTATGCATTTCGAAATTGGTTCTTGATTGGCTGTCTGAATACTTGTTGTCGTGCTAGTAGCATCCATCTTAATCAGCCTTAGAAGCAGAACCCTCAGGATGTTTATCAAACACTGGTTCCTTGTGCGTGTGTGTATGTGTTTGTGTGTGTGTGTGTGTGTGTGTGTGTGTGTGTGTGTGTGTGTGTGTGTGTAACGGGCTCGTGGCCCGGTGAGTAGAGGCGTTGACTTCTAAAACAACAGGTCGCGAGTTCGAGGCTCGGGTGTTCCACACTTCGGGCTTGGCTATGGCTGGCTGACGACGGCTAATAAGCCAGAAATGGCCATTCCAGTCTCCCTTGTCTTTGTCGGTAATAGCATTCTGCATACATGTTAATATCTACAGTGCGTGACCTATCTCGTGCCCTCAAAACGGGCCACGTGTTAGATGCGCTGGACCAACACGGGGGCCACATCGGACTTTGGCAGGCGTTATCTGTGCGCAATAACAAATGCCAACATTTCCGGGGTGCGCTGGCGGACCCTGTTGTCGGCATTCGTCGCACAACTGGACCACTGCCTCCACCCCATTGTTTTTTGTGGTCAAAATCCTGGTGTTGGTGTGTGGGCCAGGGGTGCGGAGTGAAGCGCCAAGGCGAAGACCCGTCCGAGCCATCCACCTGCGGCCTCCCCCGTCTCCGGTCTTCTTGACTCTGTCTTGACACCGGGCCCAGGCGGGGGAGGAGGAGAGAGTGTATGTAGATGCTACGCAAGTCTTCTGGCACTATAAACCCCTGCGTAAGTCACCGTCCCCGCTCCCACAATGCAGTCTGTGGGGCACACGGTGGTCATCGTCGAAATCGACGGACGAACTGTCGTGTGTGTGTGTGTGTGTGTGTGTCACACAACCAACGTCATCAAGGTCAGTCGAGCCGTGAGCTGTTTCTGAGCTGACCTAATTACCAGGCAAGTGTCTGGATGCTCATCAAACACTGTTACCTTGTGTTTGTGTAAGCGTATGTTATGCCAGTACCAGCAAAGCATGGACATCGCAGCCTGGTATGCGCCCACAGGTCCCCGACTCCTGGTTCCCTGGCCGTGTTATGTATGCAAAACAGAAGGATAATCGGAAATGGGAGGTGTACCGAGTACGATAGACAACACAATCGAGGAGGCTTGTGGAAACGGCCGGGTATATGGCAAGGTGGACTGTCATAGGCTGATGGGTGGCCAATCAGCACAAAGGCGTGAACAGGGGTCATTACCTTGATCGTTCGCTTGTTACGCGCTTATGGCATGATGTCCTGACGGCCCGAGCAGGATACGCTGCATCCCTCCACCCTAAAGTACAGAGAATGAGGAGGAGGGGAGGGGACAGTAAAGGTAATAGTGGATGGTTAGACAATGTTCTAATAAGGTTCGTCCTGAAAGCGTTGGACAGGTCTGAGGATTCGGGTCGATCTTCTCAGGGCGGTAATTTCTACCTCTGCACCGCTTTGTGAAGTCACTGGCATCGATATATCGTCCCACTTTCCGAGGTTCGTCCGGAGGAGTTTCAACTTAGATGGGACGTCCAGTACAACCGTGGGCGACAAAATTGGGAGTAGTTCAACATAATCCTCAAATGTCTTCCTCCATTGCAACCACGAGTCAGTTGAGGGCGTCTGGATGTTCTTTGGCCAGAAAGGTAACAGTGTAGGCAGCAATGAGGACATGTTCGTTAGGCTGCGCCGCCAGAACAGAAGGTTAGTTGGAAATAGGACGTGTACTGATTACGATAGACAGCACAAGCGCGGAGGCTTGTGGAAAGGGACGGGTATTTGTCAAGAAGGACTGCCGTAGGTTGATGGGTGACCAATCAGCACAAAGAAGGTGTGAACAGGGGTCACGACCTCGAACGTTCGCTTGTCACGCGTTTGTGGCATGATGTCCTGACGGCCCGGGCAGAATACGCTGCAACCGGCAGATGCGCTCGCGCTAGCGCTAGGTACACAGGTGGTTGTCACGGCCGCCCAGTCATCATCCTCGTCCTTCTGACCCCTGTTGGGGTGCTGTTGTTGTTGGCAGAATGGCATTACCGACAAAGACAAGGGAGATCGGAATGGCCATCTCTGGCTTATTAGCCGTCGTCGGCCAGCAATACCCAACCCCGAAGTATGCAACACCCGAGGCTCGAACTCGCGACCTGTTATTTAGATGTCCACGCCTATAACCACTGGGCCACGAGCCCGTTGCCTTGTCGGTTTTCGATCGGGAACGAGTGAGTTCCGTATGAACGATCGGTGAGCGCCCCCTAACATTGTATATTCCCGATCGAAAACCGACAGGGCAACGGGCTGGTGGCCCGGTTGGTAGAGGCGTGGATTTCTAAACCAACAGGTCGCGAGTTCGAGGCTCGGGTGTTCCACACTTCGGGCTTGGGTATGACTGACTGACGACAGCTAATAAGCCAGAAATGGCCATTCCAGTCTTCCTTGTCTTTGTCGGTAATATCATTCTGCCTATATATCATGCGCTGCTGTGCGGCTGCTGGTTGGGCTCGAGAGAGAGCCCTTAAGGCACAACGGAACGAGTAAGTTCCGTAGGAACGATCGGTGTGCGCCCCCTACCATTGCTGTTGTTGTTGCTGGTGAAACACCCTGGTCGTTTGCCGTGTGGACCAGGGGGTGTGGTGTGTCTCCGGCCGTGCCAGCCACCTGCATCCTCCCACACCGCCGGTCTTCTTGACGCTATCTCGACACCGGGTTCAGGTGGGGGCTTGACGACTTTTATGCCTCCCATGAAAAATACGCCTAGGACTCGAATACTGGCCTTTATTGGTGCATGCACTTAGAGGCGGAGAAATAGTAAACGTCTACTGCATCACGCGAGCAATTCATCGGACATACAGATGAAGTACGCTGGCAATTTTTAAGGTCATGACAACCAAATCAGCAAATCACCAAACGCCATTACTACCTGATGATCGCCTCCAAATGCCAGTAATTATGGAATCCTTAAGGTAGTAACACGACTATTCGCACAGCATGTTATATGCCCAATTATTGATGCTGCCCAAGATGTATGCATTGTTGTACATATTCCTGTCGAAAAATTTCATGAGCCGTATATTGTGACGGCGTGATAGTATAAAGGAGTGCATTATTTTTCCCTAAACAGGAAGTGTTCTGCTTACGATTTGGAAAGCTTAAACGCCGACGCCACATCAGTTCGAGTTTAAACTAAGTCAAGTTCAAATGCACCATTTACTCGAGTGGAAAATTTTATGAAAGCCAAGCAAGTACAAGAAAGAATACTCTCTGTAGTACATGCCTGGAGTTGTAAGAACATCAAAAATCAATGAAAAACATTATTGCATACGCTGTCCTTTCCACCGAGTCTGATTTGTATGGAAGGCCGAAACAACCTACTTTTGAAAACGGACATTCGGATGCGACTGATTCTGCTTCATGCTTGTCTATTTTACAATTCCACGGTTAACAATGTTTCCAAAATTTGTTCCATATCAAGCAGTACTGGCGTGTAAGTATTTTAACAACAGAATTTATTCCCTCAATTTTGTCAATCACCTCGTCACTTTTAGTTTTTAAAGAAATGTGCCCCAACACAATAAGGTTTTTTGTCTGACAGATTTTTGGCAATTCCACGTGGAGCGACTTCGTGCAATGACGATAAGTGTGCCTTTCGACGAGTCCAGCGAGACGAGCTTTTCAAAGACATACGACGCTCCGGGGTTCGGTGAAGACGGCGTTTGCGTAAAAACCCTTCGTGAAGGTGGAGTCCCCCAGTTTTAATGTGAAACGATGTTTCCTGCCGTTATTTTGGAATATCACGGAGAGGTAAACAGCAGTTGTCTTCCAGTCTTTGACTTTAGAATTCCTCCTATTTATTGGTCTATGTTCTTGACAATGGAAATAATATTAATCAACGTGGACGCGAATGCGGAAATAAACCGCATTTTTAAGTCGTGGGAGTTATTTGCTGTGCATATAACTAAACGCAACTTCCTTAAACTCAGCATGGTACTGGTGAAGAACGCTGCCGAAAAAAACGAAGTGTCTGAACAGAAAACGGAGGTCATTCTCAGAGCTCAGAAAATTCCAAGTTGAGTATATTTGCGACTACACGCACCCAGATGTTTTGCAGGAAAAAATGGACGTGCTAACCCCTGAATTGTTAACCAAATTCCTGATCTCTTTTTATCGATTCAAAATTATTACCTAAGTAGGTTAGTGATATTACTTGTCATGCAGATTGAGTTGTAGGGGTGTACAGTGGTGGGTTCACGTGACGGTTGTAGCAGGGCACATATCTGCTTGCAAGTGCAGACTACGCCTAGCCTCCATTTGCTGGCAACGAATGCTTGCCTGTGGCTTCCTAGAGCTAGGATCTGCCTATCGGCCACACCCTCGTAACTGTCTCGATTGGCAGGCTAAGCCAAGTGAGGGTATCCGCTCACGGTGTTGTGGACTTCGCTGGTCGGATGGAACTTCGCATCGGCGTGGTCCCGACGAGGCTCCGGCTGGAGCACCGTAGGAGGCCACCAACTTACGACGATGTCCTAGGCTGTCCCAGGCTAACTCGGATCGTTCTTCTACTAAACAAAGACTGTAGAGTTCAGCCGCGCCTGACACAATTGAACAGCCCTGTTTAGAGATTGCACTGCTCACCCCCGCGAGGGGGAAGGGACTAGAAAGTGTTCCCTAAACAAATGCTGGGGAACTACGCCGTCTGCAGGCTAACCGCGTTCTCAGACGTTAAACTCACGGTCGAAACAACTAAAAACGAACCAACCCTCTCTCTCCTCCTCCTCCTTGAAGTCATCCTCCTTCCCGACAAACCACTCACCAGGCTGGTAGGGTGAGTCCGCTCACTCGGGCAGTCTGGAATGTTCGTCCCTTTCCAGACCACCCGAGGTGCAATCGACCGGAACGGAGGACGGCTACACCATCTTCTGGAGTGGTCGACCCAAGGCAGAGCGACGAGACGCGGGTGTCGCCTTTGCCATCCGGACCGACATCGTGGGACGACTGCCCAGTCTGCCGCAGGGCATCAGCGACCGCCTAATGAGCCTCCGTCTGCCTCTTCGGGGTAGGGGCACATTCTCCATCATCATCAGCGCCTACGCTCCGCCGATGACCAGCCCCGACGCCGTCAAAGACAAATTCTACGAGGACCTGCATGCCCTCTTGGCGACTGTGTCGAAGGCGGAGAAGTTGATTGCCCTTGGTGACTTCAACGCCCGCGTCGGCGCAGATCAAGCAGCCTGGAGGGGTGTGCTAGGCCCCCATGGTCTCCCCGGCTCAAACGAAAATGGCCTGCTGTTTCTCCGTACTTGCGCAGAACACCGCCTCATCCTGACGAACACGTTATTCTGTCTGCCAGAGCGAGAGAAGGCCACCTGGAGGCATCCTCGGTCGCGTCAGTGGCACCTGCTGGGCTATGTTCTCGTCCGGAGGCGAGATCAGAAAGATGTGCTAGTGACAAAGACCATCCTGGATGCCGACGGGTGGACCGACCATTACCTCGTAATCTCAAAGATGCGTATTCGCCTACAGCCTCGCAGGAGACCACAAGGTAAGTGGCACCCAGGTAAGCTGAATATTGCCTTGCCGGTTTTGCACGCTCACCATCTTCATTTCAGCAATGAGCTAGCTCAACGGTTAGACAACCTTCCTATCGCTGCCGCCGCCGCTGCCGAAAACGCCTCCGTGGAGAACCGCCGGTGTCAACTGCGGGACACGGTCCAGTCGACGGCGCTCGCCGTCCTCGGTCGCGCTCCCCGCCAACACCAGGACTGGTTCGACGACAACGACGCCGTCATCAGCAACCTGTTCGCCGAGAAGAACCGCCTACACAAAGCCTACGTGGATCACCCCACTGACTACAACAGAACTGCCTTCTACCGCAGTCGCCGCCTTGAACAACAGCGACTACACGAGATGCAGGACACCTGGACGGCTGGCAAGGCCAAGGAGATCCAAGGCTACGCGCACTGCAACGAATGGGAGAAATGCTTCGCCACGATCAAAGCTGTCTGCGTTCCGCCGACTAAAGGAACTGCACATCTTGGCGCCGACGTCAGTGCCCTATTCACTGAGAAGACACAGATTCTACAGTGATTGGCCGAGCACTTCCGAGGCGTCCTTAATCGTCCCTCCACCATATCCGACGCCGCCATCGCCCGTTTGCCGCAAGTGGAGACCAATATAGACCTTAACTTCCCGTCCTTTTTCCACGAAACAATTAGGGCCGTGCAACAACTCTTCAACGGGAAAGCGTCCGGATCAGACGAGATCCCTGTTGAGGTCTACAGGCATGGTGACCCCCAACTCATGGATAATCTGACTGCGCTCTTCCAGGAGATGTGGCGTCAAGGAGAAGTTCCATAGGACATCAAAGAGACCACAATAGTGCATTTATACATGCGAAAGTGAAATCGCCGAATTCGCGGCAACCACCGAGGCATCTCCTTGCTAAACATCGCCGGGAACTTCTTCGCAAGCATCCCCTTAAATCGTCGGAACAACCACCTAGAACAAGAAATTTGCCGAAAAGCCGGTAGGGCTTCCGCGGTCATCGTGAGACCACGGACATGATAATTGTCGTCCGCCAATTTCAGGAGATGTGCCAGGAGATACGGACTCACCCGTGCTCAACATTTGTGGGTCTGTCGGAAGCATTTGACACGGTGAATCTGAAGGACTCTGGAAAATCATGAAGCAATTCTGCTGTCCTGAACCATTCGATCAGAGGGTGCGTCAGCTCCACGATGGCCTGATGGCGCGCGTCACGGACAATGGATCCGTCTCAGAGGCATTTGCAGTAACCACCGGAGTGAAGCATGGCTGAGTCCTCGCGCCCACGCTCAGCAGCATTATACTCTCTGCCATGCTGATTGACGCCTACCGTGGCGAGTGACCCGAGATCCGCATCGCCTAAAAGACGGACGGCCACCTCCTCAACTACAGGCGGATGCACTTCCAGTAGGGTGTATTTACAACTACCGTCCACGAAGTTCTCTTCGCCGACGACTGCGCCCTGAATACCACCTCGGAGGAGGACACGCAAAGGAGAATGTATCTCTTCTGAGCCGTCTGCGAGAACTTCAGTCTTATCATTGACACGGAGAGGACGGTGGTCGTGCACCAACCGCCACCCAACACAGATTCCCTCCCCCACCCACAATGCACCGCAAATCAGCGTGAACGAGGCACAACTGCAAATAGTGGACAACTTCACGTATCTGGGCAGCACCCACTCCCGCAACACCAAGATCGAAGACGAGGTGGGCCACATGATTTCCAACGGCAAGTCAGGCCTTCGAAACACAGTTTGGAATCGTCGCGGTCTTTAAATCAGCACGATACTGAAGATGTAGAAGGCCGTCATCCCACCGACGTTGCTGTATCGAGCAGAGACTAGGACGGTGTACATGAAGCAGTCGCGGATACTGTATACCTTCCACCTCAGCTTCCTTCGACGGATGCTGGAGATGAGGTGGCAGGACCGGATCCCAGATAATGGAACAGCTATGTTAAGACAACTGCAACCGCGATTGAACAACAAGCTGTTAGCCAAACGATTCTTCTCTGGAGATGTCGTCGTGGGTTTTCGCCGCCAAGCAGGCCGAATCCGTCGATACAATGATGTATTCAAAACCTCCCTGAAGCGTCTGCAGATCAACCAAGACAACTGGGAAGACCTCGCTCGAGACTGACCGACATGGAGGAGGACAGTAAGGACAGACTTAGCAATCTTCGAAGCCAACCGCATCGCCGCAATTTCAACTTCCGTCACCTACGCCGCCGCCCATCCGCCTCCAGTGTGCCCACGATGTCAACGGACATTTTGGGTGCCAACTGTACTTGTTGGACATCTTCGAACTAACTGCAGCACTCAAACTGCACCAACCGTCGTCTCTCTGTCCACCTGTACCTCGCCTCCCCCGTCGTCAATTAATGTCGACCGCCCTCCGAACCATAACTACCTTCCTCCTCCTCCCGCGTATCCCCCTCCTAGTCCTGCTCCACCAACGCCTCAACGTCTACCGCTGTGTCGTCTGCCATACCCATCAATATTACACATAACCCTGGAACATCAACAAACACCAACACAGCTACCATCGACGCAGTAGTGAGGACCTGGCTATACTTACTCCCACTGCGACCGCACCTTCACCTCACACATCGGCCGGTCAGTCACTTGCTGATCGATTGCACGGAGACTGGCCAACTAACGCCTGAGGCACCAGCCTAAACCCGCCGCATCTGCTTCCACAGTCCACACTGCCCACGATCATTCATGCATTGCATGGGCCCACTCGGACACATGCGCATCCGCGAGAGCGGAACTGATGACAACCCTGACACACCTAGCACACCCACCGTGCCTAACCCCGCCCACAATCCTCCACCCAGCGCGCCCACTACCACCAGCTCCACTGTCATCATTACTGTACCCGATACTGACACCGAGGACTTCTCGTGTCCACACTGTCCGCTCACATTCACCTCAGCCATCGGCCTGGTCAGTCGCTTACAAGTTTAGCTCACATAGACTGGCTAACTAACGCCTGAAGTACCAACATTCACTCGCCGCATTCGCCTCGCACATTCGTGCACCGCAGGGGCTACTTAGGCCACATGCGGGTCGACGAAAACCTGCGGTAGACCGACGCCGTCTGCGCCACACCATCACATCCTCCCTCAACAGCATCTCACCGCACCACATCACCCACCACAACCAAACAAATGCCACCTCCTGCGCAATTGGGAAGCATGCATCTTGACTCCGTTTCCATGCGGCTCCCCAACTGCATGTATGACCGCGCGTCAAGCGCAGTGGCCTGCAAGGCTGCTGACCGATGCTCCAACTCTGCAGTCAGTCCAGTTGTGTATGTGTTTTTGTTGAGTGGCGGACTGGTGGGCTGAGAGCCAGACTGAAACACCTCCTTCTAAATGTGACCTACGACACTCTCACACATGTAAGATGTACGCCGCTCAACCTCCTTGTGTGAAATCCCGGTGTTTGTGTTTTTGGGTCAGTTCGTGCATGTGGTTTGCACAGACAAGGTCACTTTATATGTCAGCCACCGCGCCCAGTCCCCGTACCTGCAAACTGACCGGCTCGGACAGCAGCTGGGGTCTGGGAATGGAAAGGGAGAGTGAGGTCGACGACTCAGCGCATTTGCCTCACTATGAACAGTCCGACAAACTTGAAACTATCACGGTGCGCCTAAAGCCGTGGCTTGGAAGCTTGCCAACTGAGGGGATAACTTGGACCTGGCAGTCTGTCCAGTGTTGTGGGTTTGGCTAGAGTAACCGGCCGGTGACCTGAGAGTCAGGCTGCAAGGGCTCCTTCTTGATGTGGTCTTTATGGCACGCCTACCTTGTGGGACCCGGGCCGGACGTCGGCAGCACGCCTAGGTGCGGCTCCGGACGAGCCAGCCTCCATTCTGTCGTCGTTGTTTGTGAAAAATCCTGGTCAAGTGCGTGTTGTTGGCCGTGGGTGTGGTTGCGAGCCTAGGAGCGGGTCCGGCCGAGTTAACCACCTGAGCTCTCCCCTACCTACTGGCTTTCTTCACTCTGTCTTGACACCGGGTCCAGGATGGAAATGGGTAGACAGAGAGAGTGCGGTAGATGCAGCGCAAGTCAACTATCACTTAAAACTAATTCATGATCAAGCCACCGTGTCGGCTACACGTTGATTTGGAGCACACGGTGGACGAAGTGAAATTTGACGGTCGGAATGTCAGGCGTTGCGCTGCGGCAGCTATCGCGTCCAATCCCAACATCAGATAACGGATCGGCTCGGACAGCGGAATGGTGTAAGGCAGAGGGAAGAGAGAAGAAGGCCGACACCAGAGATCCCATCCACGCATGGCACTTCTGCACATTCTTTGCTGCGATCAATCTGACGCGTTTGAATCTATCATGACACATTAAAAATCGAGGTTAAACAGGGGTTGCCAACTGTCGGGAGAGTCCGGGCCATCTCAGGACTGGAGGTCCGACTAAATGGTTCTTCCCGAGTTTGACCTCAACGAATCTATGTGATCTGAATCACACCCTTCCGTAAAAGTCCGACGCACTTTTGCGAGAGCCAGGTCATGTGTAGCATGCGTAGAGGGGTTTATAAGCTTTGTTAAGCAGTGCGTCCGAGCTAACCTCCGTCTGTTCTGACATCGTCTTATTATCGGACCCGGTTGAGTGGTGAGGAGAGGGTGAAGTAGATACTGCGCATGCCTGCCTCGCCATTAACTTATTCACGCGTATGTCACCGTCTCGCTCCCAGCGCGACGTGGACACACGGTGGACATCGTTGTTCGCAACAGTCAAGCTATCGAGGCGTCAGGCCAAGTCCCGCTTGCTGGTAGGAGACTGAGAGCAGTATAAATAAACCTTATTCTATACAGAGGCACGACAACATGGACTCAACAGTGAGCATCTGACAGGTGCATCAGAGGCGGTGCGAGCGTTAGAAAAAACTCCAAAATGTATCCCGCGGTCGGTTTATGCGCTGGAAATACACGGAAACCAGTTTAGAGTCCGGCTGGCGTTTTTGGGGGTGCGCACCCATAACAAACCTCAGCATTGCGGAATCCGACGGCCGGCCTAGTTGCAGACTCGCGTCGCGCCAATTGGATGCCCACCCTGGTCAGTGTGTGTTATGGACCGCTGGGTGTGTTGGTACGTCTAGGCACATGCTTTCGTCGTCACATCCACCTGCACCCTCTTGTCATGACAACAAACCCGAGACGGGGAGAAAGGAGAGAGTGTGGTAGATCCTGTGCAAGTCCACAGTCGCTATAAAAGGAGCCACGCATAAGTTACCGTCTCTGATCTTAGCCTGCTATTGAGCACATCGTCGGTCACAACGATCGAACTGTCGCTGGAGCGTGTAAAAGCAAATTTCAGCCTCCCTTTTTTAGCTTTTATGTGCGCGCCTGTGCGGCACGTAGCAGATGCTGTTCAAGGACACGGCGAATTCTGGCGGACCCAGCGGAAAAAGTGAAACCCGGCTGCTTTTACAGTCCGCTTCTTCTGACAGTCGCTCATTGGCAGATTACATTGGAGGAAATGCGGAGCTAATCAAAGGCATCAGACATATTTGAAAAGTG